ATTATCATTGATACATCATAAATATATATTGAAGTATTGGTTCGGCAAGAGCATTGTTAACAAAATGCCTGGAAACCATTGACAAATGTTGATTGAGTTCATAGGAATATACATGGGGTTTATTAATGTTTTATGTCTAGAAATCATTTTAATTTTTTTTTTTTTAGCAGATGTTTCTGCATTAATTGATAAATCAAATATAAAACATTTAAAAGATTTAAAACATGGCAATGTACACGTAGACAAACTGATCAATGATGACGTTCCAGTCGATTCGCAGATAGTGACGCTGACAAGTTTTAAATCACTGTCCGAACAAGACGTCGGAAAATTGATAATGAAGCTCAGTAAGAAGTCCTGTCCATTGGACCCAATGCCCACAAAACTATTGCTGCAATGTCTCGATGAATTAATACCTGTTATTACTGCTATGTTGAACTTGTCTCTATCAGCAGGGCAATTCCCTGCATTGTGGAAGGTCGCTCTAGTGAAACCACTATTGAAAAAGCCGGGCCTCGAAACAGAATTGAGTAGTTTAAGGCCCATTAGTAATCTTCAGTATATTTCTAAGTTGGTAGAAGGTGCTGCTACCCAACAGATTCTTGAGCACATTGAATTAGGCCCTCTGTTGTCGCGATTAGGCCCTCTGTTGTTTACCTTGTATACAAGCAGACTCCTTACAAATATCCATACAGAGTTTCCTAGTATTAGTTGTCACTGCTACGCAGACGACACCCAACTATACCTATCTTTCTGTCCTAACACACCGGCTGAAGATCATTGTATTTCTGAATTAGATCATGTGTTGTTTATATTAAGATTTGGATGTTGCAAAACAAGTTGATGTTAAATGATAACAAAACAGAACTTTTGGTCATTGGTACTCCACGCCAGGTCTCTAAATTTAGGTCGCGTAGTGTATCAGTTGGTGACTCAACCATAACCCCATCTGATACTGTTAGAAACTTAGGTGTGTCTTTTGATACCCACCTGAATATGGATTCACATATCACTAAAATATGCAAATCAGCCTATTTCATGATTTATAATTTAAGACGCATTCGAAAATACTTTGATCAGGACAGCATGAAAACTATCATGCATGCATGTGTTACTAGTAAACTATATTACTGTAATAGTTTATTGTATGGATTGCCAGACTCACAAATCTCCAAGTTGCAGCGGGTCCAAAATACATGTGCAAGACTAATTTGCAGCCTCCCAAAATTCTCTCGAATAACTCCACTTCTAAAGGAACTACATTGGTTGCCCATTCGCCAGATAATTACATTTAAAATATTAATGATAGTCTACAAAGCTCTAAATGGTCAAACTCCTAGTTACGTTACTGAATTGTTGCACATCAAGTCTCAAACTCATGGTCGTAACCTTCGTAGTACACAAGACACATTTATGTTGCAAATACCCCCATATAAAACCAAAGTAACCCTCGGGGACCGGTCATTTCTCTGTGCTGCCCCTAGATTATGGAATAAATTACCACTAGAAATAAGGAAAGCCCCATCACTAGATAATTTTAAATCAAAACTGAAAACTCACTTGTTCATATAGTATGTATAGCACAGCATTTACGAGCTCTTGCAGCGCAATATAATATATCCACATAGTTATTGCGCTTTACAAATGAATATTATTATTATTATTATTATAAAACATTCAAATAACAATAATATAATTGATTTACATAAAGAGTGACAACTTAATACACACAAATAAAAATGCATAATTGAAAGCTTGAAAGTATGGAGGTAAGTAAAAATAATCAAGATAAATGCAGAGGCCAACTATCATAAGCAAGGATGCTTGAGTCGATAGCAGCCGGGATCAAAATGTATTTGATAAAAATGTATTTGTACAGGATAACACAATTGGTTTTAGTTCTGCTTTATACCTTGATAGTAGAACCTTGACAGAATCGACATTCTAAATATGTTAATAGCTTTTGAAAATAATAATTTCAGCCGATGCAGTAATCAAAACAATAAAGCAAATACAAATGATTATAGATAATACAATGCATGTTGAATAGAAGAAATACAAACGTGAACAGAATATACACTAATAAATATCAATTCTTTTTGGAGACTAAAACCACCAAGGACCATATCAACCGGAATGAACTATTACAGGGAAATAATACAGATACAAATCATAACGGTATGCAATCTTGATAAAAAGCTGTATACAGTTGAAAAACACTGCACATGCATGTGGTCATATGGGATATAACACATCTGCCATCAAAACCTTCAATGTTTCGATATTATAACATTTTTATGAGCAGTCATCTTTAAGTAGCATCGCTTGATATTACGATTTTCTTCAGCCTATATAAGCTAAATAAAGAACCTCACAAATCAGAGTTAGCCTTTACCACACGACTTAACCTTAATTGTTATTCATATACAACGGAAACAGTTTTCATACAAACTTACATTAACAAAAATATGTGTTGTTATTGTCGTTTTATATACATGATCGTTGTGGAAATACAACTGGAGAAGTGTGTATACAAACTTCATAGTCGTGAAAGTGAAGCACATGCAGTTATCAACTCATGTACATGATCATTGCTGCAATAGAACTGAAAAGGTTTGAAAACAACCTTGCAATAAAGAAAATATCCTCTGAAATCAATAAGCTTATATACATGATTGTTGTAGCCATAGAACTAGAACAGTTTTCATCCAAACTTATACAAAAAACATATATTCAAGTTATTACGTAATGTACATGATCATTGTAGCAATACAAATGAAAAATGTTCATACCACCTTATGATTAACAATATGTTTCTTGTATTTATTGCCTTATAGCAACAGAACTTAAACGTTTTTCATACAACAAAGAAAATGTCCTCTGTTAAAATTATCTTATTTACATGATTGTTGTAGCAGGACTTCAGGAATTTGTTCATACAACCTTATTTGAAAGCTTAAATATATACCTAAATGTTTATCTTATGTAAATGATTATCGTAGCAAGAGAACTGAAACAATATTCACCCAACCATACAATAATTAAAATGTCTTATGTTATTATAATGTATATTAGTATTGTAGAAGTCGAAATGAAACAGCATTTATACAACCCTACAATCAATATAATATATTGTATTATTATAATGTACATTAATATTGTAGTAATAGAAGTGAAACAGTATTCACAAAACCTTACAATAATGGAAATATCTTATGTTATTATGTACATTAGTATCGTATAATAGAACTTAAACAGCTTTCATTACAACCTTGTAATAAAAAATATATATTTTACGTTATTACAATGTACATTTGCATTGTAGAAGTCGAAATGAAACAGCATTTAAACAACCTTACAACCAAGAAAATATCTTACGTATTATAATGTATATCAATATTGTAGTAATAGAACTGAAACAGTATTCACAAAACCTTACAATAAAGTAAATATCTTATGTTATTATGTACATTAGTATTGTATAACAGAACTGAAACAGCTTTCATCACATTATATGTTTTTTTGAGGCCGCCATCATTGTCAAGCATCGCTTATGACTGAGGTCTCCTGCACTTTTCCAACAGAATAGTTCGGATGATAATATGTTATGGAAATATTAAGTTTCGTTATTATTGTGTACATATATTATGTTTATAAAAAAACATTTTGACATGAACAAATTATTGTTTGTATATCTTGTATTATATTTATTAGCTTACATTTATATGTTCTTTGTTATTCAGTTATATTGTATTTATAATATATAATAAAATTAAATTAAATCTAACCAGGAAAGTCTTACCTCCCTGATCTAACCTTACAATAAAGAAAAATATCTCACGGAATTATAATGTACATTAGTGTTGTAATAATATAACTAAAACAGCATTTCTACAACCATACAATGATGAAAATATCTCAAGTAATTACATGTATAATGTACATCAGTGTTGTAGGAACTGAATATAGGATTTCCCGGCGAAATTCGCGAGTTTGTCATTCGAATTCATTTACTTTGCATTTAAGTTAGCGCAGATCGGCTTTGCAATGCCAATTATCATTCAATTTTCCCGTTTTAATATTTAATTTAGGATTTTGGTCGAAGGGTTTCATAGATCTGTCATTTAATTTAGAAACTGCTCAATTAGCATTCAAATTAATCGTCACTTGTCGAGGCGTCATTTTTATCATTCAAATTAACACCTGTCATTCGTATTCGAATTATGTTTATTCAAGTTAGGAATGTTAGGGGGAAGAAATGCGACACACGTTAACAGTTTTAAAAAAATGCAATTAAATGCATGATTTGTCATTAGGGTCTTTTCTGTTATTCCATTTATTAATTTTGAGGAAAATTCATATGGGTATAGTCAGACATTAGGCAAAGGAGGGGCGAAATCAAGGGATATGGCATTTCTGCACGGACATGTTCATATAGCCCGGAAAAATGGGGACACAAAAATACCTACCCCAGTCACAATATTGTATTCTTCCTCCACAATGAAATTGTGATAAATTTATGATGAAACACAAGACAAACAACTTCCTTACATGAAAATTTACGAAAATATTGAGACCATCAAGTCCGTAGATGTAAGTCGTTTTTTTCTTAACAATCAAACTTGAGGGATGATGAATATCAGATAAATTAAAAAGTATAAAGTATAAATGCAAGAAAATAAAATATGATGAAATAAACATGAGAAGAAAATAATGAGCTATAAAAAGTGTTTAATAAACGAGAAATGTATATTGACAATCAATTTAAGTGCACAAAGTGCTAACTTGAATGCTAAAAACGAATTCGAATGCTAAAAGTACACCTTCGCGATGTCAGAAATCGTGTTGTGCCAAATCGAATGACCAAATAGCGAAAGAAGCACATTGTTCGTTAATTTGAATGAACCATACATAGATTCTAACGAAAACTTCATAGATTTGAAAACTAGAAAAGGGAATATAAACCCAAGATATTTCTGACAGCACTAAAACCGTCGAATTTGAACGCAAGACAAATTAATTAAGATGACCAACTCGCGAATTTGGCCGGAAAATCCTATATAACTGAAACAGTATTCACACAACCTTAACATAAATAATATCACGTACTTACTGCGGTTATTACTTTATGCATAACGTATTTGTATTAATAGAATCGAGACAATTTTACAAAAGGGCAATACTTGTATTTAATAGGGTTATCAGTTGCTTCATGAAATGATGGTTTTAGCTAGTTAACTAAAACATTTGCCATGCAACATTTATATAAGAAGAACAATTTCTGTTGTCGTTATGCCATGCATATAATTATTGCGGCGATAAAACTGAAACGCTTTCCACACAAACCTTTCACAACGAACACATTATTATAGCCACTAAGACAACTGAACCAAGTTTGATACATCCTGAAGAGAGATAAGTACTGGTCATGCCATTGTTTTAGAAAAGAAACTGCTTATGGTATTGGGACTGTTTGATTCGAGGGTGTATCCACAAAGTTGTATTCTAAAGATTTTTATTCAATCGAAATGACGTAAAATTGACTCAATTTATTTTGCAGAAGGTCGCATGCAGTCTCAATTTAGTCTACATTTTTAAAAGCTTCTTCAGTCAACTTTCAAATATGAGGGGATTTTGAGAGCCTTTTTTGTAACCACTTTGAAGTGCCCATAATTAGTGAATATAACTGTCAAATATTCATAACTTACTCCTTTTCTGTCTGATTTCCTTCAAACTCTCACTAGTCTGCTTCTCTTGTTGTTCTTTTTTTTTTTTATTAATTTACTATCAAGGTTAAACAGAAATAATTCTCATATGTAGCTTAGCTACATGACTCCCAGCAGCATTGGCTAGGGAAGAAAAATGCACTTCGAGGGTCAGGCTGAGGATCATGCAGACTAATTAAAATATATGTTACTGAAGACGTAGGCTTCTCAGCTTAATGTATAAATCAAGTGAATCTCTTCTTGGTCGTTGGATGAGGATAATCATTGCAAGGAAAGTGTTGGCCTATTTCTTTGACTCCCATGCTTCTCTAAGTTGTGCAAAGCGCCTCCTTGAGGTGATACTCACTAAAAGGGAAGGTGAAGGAAATGGCGGAAAATTAAATAGTTTGAGTTTTTGATCATGTTACTTAATACTGAGAGTTCACATACACATTTGGGGAATAAAAGCAGGAAATTCAATCATTGGAATATTTAGAAATACCACACTGATTGTTAACATAAAAGAACATTTGTAGCTGCTGTCGTTAAAGAAATTACAGCCACGGATTGAGTTAGCGCTCCTAGGGTTTGGGAGCATTGTGGTACATTGGTGGCTCTGGACTATGAAACGCCAAAATGTCAATCAAAGATGGCATTCCATACTGGACTATCATATGGAAGGTCCCGGGTTAATACCTTGCTAGGTTCTTACCATATAGGACAAGCTTGTTTCCAAAACCTATTAATTTCCTTTCGATCTTGGGGCAGTTTTCCAAATAGTTCGAGCATATAACACATCGCTTCGCAGAATAATAAAAGTGAAACCCTTTCTTAGCGCCTATGGTTTAGTAAAAGGGAGTTAAAAACATATTTTAGTTTCCATCTTTCTGATCACTTATATAAGGGAATTGTTTAGTCTTACAAAGCGCCAAATAGTTAATAGTATATTTACGTCCATGAATGATGACCTCAGCTGTGTGGCCCAACCCAGCATTTTTTAATGCCAGATGAAGTTCATCTACCTGCTCACTAGGTCGAACCTTCCATCTCCAGTCACGCAGCATCTCACCAAAGCCTGACCTCGAGACACTATCAAAGGACACGTCTGCTGGGTTGTTGTATTTCTCCATAGATGAAGAAGAGAAGCCAAGCTGGTAGCCAAGGGACTTTAATTCGTTGGTGTATGGATTACATCTGCCAGGGTCTCGAGAAGATCATTGGAAACATACTGCATTCCCCCCAGTCTGCATGAAAGTAAATATATATCATTCGGTAGAAAATCTGTAATACTGTACATGTGAGTAGTTGCGTAGTTATGTCCATCTTTATATTGAACAAAAATCGCAAAAAGAAAAAGAAAATGAGTAAATCGAATACATTTACAACTTAATTTTGATGTATGATAATGATATGGTATTTACAGAAAAGGGGCTTTTAAAGCATAAGCTTCAAGTGAAGTCCTCTAGAAAATGAAAATAAGAATAAATGCGATATGAAGCGCTGTAGAACAATTGGAACAGAAAGTAAGAAAGATAGAAAAGGGGCATAGGAAGAGAATGGACAGAGAGAACTGGTGACGGAGAAAAAGTCACATTCGTGATAGTATTGAATTGAATTGAAATTGAACGATATCAAGTCGAGTTGTACATGTAAAAATAATCACTTGATTTAGACTGTTTATGGCAATATATATTTAACAATACCTATGTTGATAGAGGGTTGCTACATTCATTTGGAAAATATAAACAGGAGTCCCTGTCCTTTGATAAACCCCCTTATCTACAGATCAAGATTCGACTAACAAAAAGTTGTTGTCGACCATGCAGTAAATTAGAACTTTAAAGTGACCGGTTACGCGTTAGGAAAGATAAATGCTTAGTGCAATGTCCATTCTTAAAGGCATCGTTTAACAATGTTAAATCTGAGATGCATGGCACTACGTGTCATCAGTGTCTATGGTGTAATATTGAAGCCCTAACAAAAATATCGCGCTTTAAAATGATCACGAAGTGCCTAAAAAAAGTAATAATCTTTGAGTGACCGGTTTTTACCATACTCGTTTTTCCCAATAGACTGTAGTGTAATGAAAACGCAAAATTTGATTTCGATTTCCAATCATAAATATCTTCATAATCAGACAAGCGATCGGATTGTAAAAGTCACGGGGGTTCTTGACTGACCTTAAGGTTTATAATTAGCATCGCAGCATGAGCTAAATCGAGGATTTTGTTTTAGAATCTGAGACAAAGTTTATCCAATCCCTTTAAAGAATACCGTGAGTTGGATCTATGCCATGATTCTGAATCAGAGTTTAAAAAAGTAATTTCTTTATTGAAATTGTCGTAATAAACATATGTTAAATGTTATTCAATACTTATTGTTACAAGAATGAGCGATACGTTCATGGATGATGATATTCGTTTACTTACGAATATGGGGGATCGACTGCATAATCCGGTTCATCTGCATCAAACGAAATATAGAAATACAATAGAACTAAGGCGATTTTACTTCTTCAATATTTGGAGTTGCTATGTATTTAATATAAAGGATGTCTATTGAGACAAAAAATTAATCACAATTCAATGGTTTTGTTTTTAAGATGTTAAGAGCGTCACAAAATACCTCTATAATTTCACAATATCGAGTATATCACAATATCTCTATTTCAGAAGATACGAAAAGAAAAGGAATATGTTGTTAATTTAATTTTTTTTAGATCAGAAAAGGTCTTCGCCACAGCTATTTATTATGTTTTAAACTAGGAAGGAGTATTTTTTTACATTTATTGTAAATGGATTTTGCAACATGATTCTATATTCATTTTCACCATCGTCCAAAAAGGCTATTACGTATAACTTTGACCTCATTTAAACAATTCTTATTGAATGAGGAGAAAACATGATTACATTGAAGTTACAGAAATGACAATTCGTAATTTTTGTTGTGGCAGCTAGTTACAAAAATATCTTATGTAGGGCCTTTGAGGTAACTAGTTACAGAAATGACCTAAGTAAGATCAGTTACAAAAATTACTTATGCAAGATCTATGAGTTAGCTAGTTACAAAATTGATTAAATTACTTTTCTTTTTCTTTCATGTCATTTCGGTTTATTGAATCAAAATTCCACGTTAAAACAGTCGGGAGACTGATACAAACAAAGATTACAAAGTTCAAAGATACTTGTGTAGGGTCTTTGTGTATCAAGTCAAAATAAATTACTTATGTGGGGTCTCTACAAGGTATTAAACTCAATGACTAATGTAGGGTCTTTGAGGTACATGGTTTTCGGTTAGACGTCGCGTCGTCAGGATGCCATGCCTCTACTAACATCCCTCCATTGGTTGCCAATCAAACAGAGGATTGTTGTTAAGATTCTTTTATTTGTATACACATTTTTAATGATCAGGCGCCAGAGTAGTTTAGTGACTGTCTTGAGTTGTATCGACCTGTGAGTACAAACCTTCAGACCAATGTAGACCCATTTCGATTGACTTTTCATGTGGCTCGTAGTAAGGCAGGAGATCGCACGTTCACTGTTGCAGCAGCTAAGGAGTGGAATAATCTTTCCTCCAGTATAAAAGCTGCTCCATCAGTGGATGTTTTTAAGAAACTCCTTCAAACCTACTTATTTCTTACTTGATTATCTTTGTTTGTTCAATGTTATGTTATGATTTGTGGTTATATTGTTATATTGCATATTATTGTAAGCGCTATGATATAGTGTACTATAAATAGCGTAGCTAAATGCCTAATAATAATAATAACAATAATAACTGGTTGCAATTGCTTTCTAATTATGTAGGGTTTTTGAAGTATATAACTCGTTACATAAATGACTTAGGAAGGGTCTGTGACGTAACTTGTTACATAAATGACTTATGAAGGGTCTGTGAGGTTATAACTCCTTACAGAAATGGCTTATGGATCGTTGATGTAACTAGTTACAATGAATTACTTACGTTCGGTCTTCGAGGTAACTAGTTACAGAAATGACTAACGTAAGGTCTTTGAAATATTTACCCGACTACAGTTGATGAAATCAAAGACACATACTATCCTACCTCCTCATAATTTAGGCTTACCTTCTATTGAAATGATATACTCTCTTTCTGCAAGGGTTGCTGACCCTTGTAGTATGTCGATATGGACGTTCTTCTTCCCTTTCTCTTCAGGAGAGAACTGAAGCTCGAACTTCAGAGGGATGCACTTTCCACTTAGTGTACTCTTTATGGGTATCTAAATGATTCGAATTTCATGGGAATTATAATAACAATGATGATGATAATAATAGGCAGAGCAATAACAGCAACAAAACTAATAATAATACTATGATTATAATAATAATGATATAATACTGATAATGAAAATTAACATCGCAATATTACGACGGCATGCGTTTGTGTGAGGGAGAGAAATGGCCGAGAGAGGGAATATATTTCATTTGATGAGATCCTCTCAATTTGAAATAAGGAAGAGATTTGATCATTTGGTGACTGTTTAACAAAAAATGTAACTTTGAGGTACCTGATCGGCTGAATTCTTTTTAAAGAGATCATTTCCAGATATCACCTTTCTTGAAAAATACATTTAAAATTCAGCTTATATAGAGTGTACATCCGGGTCAGTGTCGCTATTCATAAGTACCGCTATCACGAAAGGTCCGCTATTCATAAGGACCGCTTTTCATAATTTGAGAAAAGGGTCATTATTCATAAGGGTCATTGTTCGTAAGGACTGCTATTCATAATCAAAGAAGAGGGTCGGTATTCATAATATGAGAAGAGGGTCGCCATTTATAATACAAAATCGATATCGTTATTCATAAGGGTCCCTATACTTAATACAAGAAAAGGGTCGCTATTCATAATAGGTGAAGATGGTCGCTATTCATAAGAGGAGGAGTAGGTTCGCTATTCATAACACAAAATGAGGGTCGCCATTCATAATACGACAAGAGGGTCGCTATTCATGCAACGAAATGAGGGTCGCTATTCATAATGCAGAATGAGGGTCGATTGATTGATTGATTGATTGTTATTCGCCAAGCTTCCAACATACAAAAAAATAACATATCAAAATTAAATCAGCTTGAACAGGATAACCCACGAAAGCACGAGAGCTTATTTCCAGTGGGTCCCCTACAGACATGTACAACATTAAAAGGTTAAAATAGTAATATTTACAGACAGATAAGAAAAAGAAAAAGAAATTGTTCAAGATAATAATAATAACCCAATTAAACTGATGATAGAAATGAAAAAGAAAAAGAAAAAGGAGAAGAAGAAAAAAAGGAGGAGGAGGAGGAAGAAGAGGAAAATAATGATGAATTTGTAGAATTTCTATTACGTACAAAAACATAAGTATATACAAAATGAAAAAGTATGAACCGATAGAAGAATACAAATTTCAATCATAAAACGTGTCATTCGCTTCAAATGTTATTCATAACGGGTTCATTATTCATAAGGGTCATTATTTATATTACTAAATGAGGGTCGCTATCAATATAAGGAGTAGAGGGTCGCTATTCATAATACATATTTGGGATCGCTATTCATACGAAATGAGGGTCGCTATTCATAACACAGGATAAGGGTCGCTATTCATAAAAAAATCCAAAATTAAATATGCAATAAACAAAACGATAATAAGAAAGGAAAATAATGG